GCCGCCTCTGACTTCCTTTCTGTTTTTCTCAACCCCACCCCCTCCTTGGCTATAATTTCTCCAGTCCTAGTTTAGTATAACTCACAGATTTCTTATTCCCAACTCTCCAGAGAAGACTAACTCCTGACCAGTTTTCAGGAACCCATATGAGGGGCTTGAATTCAGGCCCTCTTCTCTGAGGATGAATACATCCTCCCTAGAGCATAGCTGGTCTGGTGGAAGAGGAGTTGAATGTCAGACCCTTTCGCTTCTGTTGCCGTGTACAGTGAACAAACTATACAGAAGTATAGGTTGGCCCTGCTACTTACTGCCCCTGTGGTATCATTTGATGAAGATGTATTGTATAAATTGATGTGTGTGTGTGTGTGTGTGTGTGTGTGTGTGTGTGTCTGCCTATCTGCCTGCATGTGTCTCTGTCTCTCTGCCTCTTTGTGTGTCCCTCTCTGTCTCTCTCTCTTACTGAGACAGGGTTTCTCTGTGTAGCCCTGGCTGTCCTGGAACTCATTCTGTAGACCAGGCTGGCCTCCAACTCAGAGATTCCCCACCCCACCCCAACCACACCCCACCTCACCCCAGCTCCACAACTCTGGGATTAAAGAGCTGCAGCACCACTGCCAGGCAAACAGAGCACTCTCATGCAGACCCCATTTAAGCCTCACAGCACTCTGACAGGTCTTGACGACCTTCCCAATTCACAGGTGAAGGAGCTGACAGGCGAGCAGGCAGTTTGTTTATTGTTGTGTGAAGAGTAAAGATGAATCAGATGTGGTGGCCCATACCCCTAATCCCAGCACTCAGAAAGCTGAGGCAGGAGGACTGCAGCAAATTCAAGGTCAGCCTGGGCTGAAGAGTGACAGGCTGTGTTTCAAAAATACTAATAGGAAGAGGAAAAGGAGGAGGAGAAGGAAGAGAGGGAGGGAGAGGGAAGAAGGGTGGGATGGAGGGAGTAAGGGAAGGAAACTGGATATCACCAGTCCTTTGGCTACCAGGTATGGGCTGGGCTTTTTCTCCCTCTAGCACAATGCTGTTGTTGTTGCTGCTGCTGCCACTGTCGCTGCTGCCACTGCTGTTTCTCCCCCACTACCCTACACCTCCCAGTCTCACAGATCTATGGGTTTCTGTGTCCTCTTGTGTTAATGACCTGTGATGGCAACTCCCTTGTTAATGCACCTTCCACACCAGGTCTAACTTGAAAGCACAGAAAAGGTCTTTAGAAAGAAGCAGAAAGATAAAGGATGGGCCTTCCAGGAAGAGGAAGAAGAGGAGGCAAGGAAGGCAAGCAAGCACTCCATGGGGCATTGAGAAGGAAGGGGTAGGTGAGCTGAGAGAAAAGCACCCGCATTCTATGCCCAGGCTGTAAAGGGACACAAACAGGACCCCCATTGTGTGGGCACAAAGGAGCCATATGTCTGCCAGTCTTCATACAGCACTGTGTGTGTGTGTGTGTGTGTGTGTGTGTGTGTGTGAGAGAGAGAGAGAGAGAGAGAGAGAGAGAGAGAGAATGTATGTGAGTGTGTCTGTGAGAAAAGAGAGAAAGAGGGAGAGAGTGTGTTTACGTGAGTGTGTGTGAGAGAGAGAATGTGTGTGTGTGTGTGTGTGTGTGTGTGTGTGTGTGTGTGTGTGTGTAGGGAGGACTGGCTTAGAGACCCCATTCTGCAACCCTTGGGGCCTTGCCTTCTGCTGTCACTGACTTGAGATTTTCTGAGACAGAGGGCAGGGGAGCAGTTATTATAGCAGACAGGACGGAGAAGGCCAGGGGCCTGTGGTCTCAGGGCATGAACAGCCAAAGAAGCTCGTGCTGTGCATGGAGCTAGAAGGGGAAAGAGGGATGATGATGAGTCAGACTGTGCCCTCCCTGGGCCCCAGGAACCTCCCCTCCTACAGCCCCACACACATACTTTCCTCACACACACAAACACACACACACTTTCCTCATACACGCACACTTCACATACACACACTTCACACACACACACTTCACACACACACTTCACACACTTCACACTCACACTTTGCTCACGCACACACTTTGCTCACACACACACATTATACACACACACACACACACACTTTGCTTGCACCATGCTGCCTCTGGAGCTGGGTTTTGTTTTCCTGTTTGTCTTCTATCATTTGTTTCTTCTTTGGATTTTGAGACAGCATCTTGCTACATAACCCTGGTTGGCCCAGAGCTCTCTGTATAACCAGTCTGGGCCTCAAACTTCAGGAGTTTTTCTCTGCCTCCCTGGTGCTGGGAGTCTAGGCAGGAGTCACCATGCCCTGCTTTCGAGCTGGGTTCTGGAACAGTATGAAGATGAACTGTGGCGTTCTGTTCCTTTCCTTTCTCCCTGCCTGTTAGTTCTGCCACACCCACTTTTCTCTCCTTCCCTCAGCCCAGAGACTGCCATCTCCTTCACCACTCTACTTTGTGTGTCAAGCCCCCTCCCAGCCCCTCCTCTCACCTCCTATGCCCTCCCCCCACTTCCTCCTTCCTTGTCCTGCCATGCAGAGCAGAGCGGCAGCCGAGGCCAATTGATTATCTGAAGAAATTTGGAGTTAGCAGCAGAACAGCTGCAGCAGCGGTCCCCTCTCACCATCCCCGGGCCCTAAGGGACCTGGGAGGGGAGGGGCCCCTAACCCTTCTGCTCTCCAGCCTGGAGGGACAGAGGTGCTCCCTGAGCACACGGCATAATGCTCACATTTAGAATCACACCTCAGACCCTGGGGCTTGGGTTATAGTCCCAGTCTGTCATCACCTTTCTGGATAGGCACCTGTCTTGGAAACAAAGGTTGTTAGCAGGCATAGTGGCACACACCTGTAATCCAAGCTTTCTGGAGGCAGAAACAGGTGGATGGCAGGTTAAAGGCCAGCCTGGGCTATTTAATGTCACTTTGTCTCAAGTAAATAGATAAACAACGAAAGTTGTTAGGCAGATACAGCAGTGCACCCCTGTAATCCTAGCACTGGGGAGACTGAGGCAGAAGGATGGCAGGTCAGAGGCCAACCTGAGCTACACAGAGATATCTGGTCTCCAGTTTTTTATAAATTAAAAAAGGAAGGCAAGGAGGAAGACAGGTAAGGAGGCAGGGAGGGAAAAGCTGGACTCCATGATCTTCCAGGATCCTTTGGAATGAGGCTCATGTAGCTCTCAGATTTCCCTGGTCTCAGTTTTGCCTACCCTCTTTCTGGGCTCTGGGCATAAAATATTTAACTCACACACATGAAAGCAGACATGGAATCTTGAGAGTTCCTTCCCAGCTCTAGTCCAAACCCCTCTTGATGATGGCATGCAGTAGTCATCCCTCAAGCACCAGAGAATGCCTCTGCGTTCCCTCCCACAGCCTTCCCCTTCAGCCATTTTACATGGCCTCAAGTCAGGAGAGGCTCTCCCAGGGTCTCTGGCCAGAGCATTCCATCTGAGGTGGGAATGTGCCCTAAGTGTCTATGCAGACTAGATTTTCCAGCCCCTCTGATTGAATTCCTCTTTGTTGGACCGGGTGAGTCTGAGGCTGAACAGTTCCCGGTACTACAAAAACTGCGAAGTGTTTCTTGGAATTAAAATCTGTTATCTGAGAACTCCTCCTCAGTGGCCACGATCCTAACTCCTGGAGCCACACACAGAATGTCCATTTTCTTCATTTAGTATTCGAAGATGAGGATGGGTTTACCTCTAAATCTACTCCTCTCTGCTTGCTTTGTTTTTGAGACAGACTCTCTATATCCTAGGGTGGCCTCAATGGTCGCTGAGAATAACTTTGATCTAACTGCCTCCACCTTAGTGTGCCAGGATTAGAGATTTCAGAACAGCCCCTTCTATACAATGCCAGGGAACAAACCCATGTTCTTGGGCATGCTAGGCATGCACTTTACCAACTGAACTGTCCTTAATATATACTATACATTATATATATTCTAGCCCCTAAAAATACTCTTATCAAGACAGACAAATGTGAGGCTTTTAGTCCCACCTCCAGCACCAAACCACTAATAAAACAGAAGTCCAAATGTATCTTCTGTTTCCCCTGCAGTCTCTAGACCTTTGTCTTCTTAACCATGCGGTGGTCCTCTCTGTTTATCAGTCCTCCTGTTAAAACAGGGGGTTCAAAAGAGCACCACCCTTCAGGCTGGGTCATTTTAGGGAGGCCAGCTATAGCAGTAAACACCTGTAATTCCAGCACTTGGGAGGTTAACAGGCAAGGAGATCTCAAATTTAAGATTGCCCTTAGCTATATGTCAAGTTTAAGGCCAGTCGGAGCACCATGAGACTGTCTTCAGTCAAAACATCCAACCCCCAAAAGAAGCTACATCTGGGGTCTGAGTTTTAAGTTTGTCCCTAATAGCTGTGTGACATTGGGTTAGGTGTTCTCTGGGCTTAAAAATGTCTTTACAGAATGATTTTAGGGGCTTTCTAGAATCCCTCTGATGCCAGCTCAGCACCTTCCCCACTTTGGTGTTTCGGAGCAGGATTAGATTAGATTCTAGTCAGGGCTAGACTTTCATCCATGACTACCTGCTTCAGTCAGACAAGCCCAGCCATTCGGCGCCGCCCCCTTCCTCTTTCTCTCAGTAACATGTTCTCCATCACACTTCCTCCTGTATCTAATGCTGAGGAGCACAGAACACACCAGGAGCTGAGGCTCTAAGCAACTTTGACCTCACCTATAGATGATAAACGAAAAGGCAATGCTTTGGTTTTATGCCCTGACTTTCTCCAGCAGCATGGACCCACGGACACAGGTTTAACTCAGATTCTATTAGGACATTCAGCTGCCTTCTCTCAAGACCATGGGGAAAAGGATCTGAAAAACAGAATCACTCCATGCATGCTAAGACGATCACAATTTCTTTTTCTTGGTAGCCCCTCTTCTCTGTCTTCATTTACTTACGACATGAAGCTCTCATGAGACAAACACTCAGAAGAAGCTTCCACACCCAGGACCGCCAATAGCCACCCTACACAACCCTCAGGCCAGCTTTCCAACACAAAGGAGCCACAGCCATATCTGGTACTAGAACGAGGTCACTTTAATTTTTCTTTTTGTAAGAAATTAGGAATGCAACCAGACAAAGACTTACACACAGGACACCAGACACAGATCCCAGGGTCTGTTCTGGGTGGTATTGGGAAAAGCAGGGATGGTAGGAGGAATGGAGTAGATAGGGCTGGAAGAGGCTTGTTGGGGCAGGGACAGCAGGGAGAGATTGAGAGAGGACCCCCTAGAAGCTGGGGGGGGGGTGCTGGGGAGGGGCACTATTCCAGAGGAAAGGGGATAGGGACAGATGGAGCTGAGAAAGAGGTACCAGTATGGTGGGTGAAGGGATCCCCACACATACTTGCACTGGAGAAGGAAGAAGAAGTGACCTGGGAGAAAACAAGAGGATCCCAGCTAGAGCTAGCTGCAAGGAGCCCCCCTCACCCTATCCCAAAGTGCATAACTCAGTAATAAATAGTAATATTTATAAATAAATAAATAAGTGAATAAATAAATAAATACATAAATAAATATCCTTGTAGAGCTAGTAGTTTGGTGTGAGGATGGATGGAGCAGAGAAAAGCAGTGAGTTCATCTACAGGGAGTCTAAGGCCCATAGACTCCTGGGCAGGTGGGTGGGGCTCAGCAGCACGGGCGGGGCACCTTCCTTCCTATGGCAGTTTAAGAAAGGAAAGGGGAAATGTAATAAGAAGGGCCCTACAGCATTCATAGAGGGCAGTAGCAGGCGTCCCTGCGTATCTGAGGGAGGAGCTAATGGGTTTTGCAAGTTTGCACGGGTCTACTAGGATGGAAGCAGCCGCTGCGGAGCTGCCCCACCCCGGGCCTGAGCCTTCGCAAGGTGCCCTGGGCTGTTTGGGGGTGTCGTCCTTATCTCAGGACTGATTTATCCTTTTTCTAGATGGCATAGGGAAAGGGAGAATTCTGGAATGGTGGTGTGGGAAGGGACGGGGAGTGGCCGGACAGCTCCAAGAAGGCAAGGCACTCACTACCAAGTTAGATCTGAGGTCTGCAAATCCTAAGCCTCAGGATCGAGAGAGAGACAAAAGAAAGGCAGAATTTTTCTATAATCTCTGGCTACCCAGGAGTCACCTCCCTCGTCTCTCTGCCTCCTCAGGCATGGACAGACAAGTCAGGGAGCTAGGAACCCGCTCCCCCAACCTCTGCCACTAGTCAGTTCCCCTTCTGTTTCTGATGCTGAGTCCCACCATTGCCAGAAGAGTGAGAGTCAGGGTCTGGGGGTCTCTGAAAACTTGGACATCGGGCAGAAAAGGCAGCAGCTGAATAGAGGTTAGGCTTAGTAAACCCAGCAAGGACTCCATTCTGACCACTCTGGCAAGCAACTCTGACCAGCTAGGCCCAAACAACTCTCTGAAGGAACCCATAAGAACACCCTTCACACTCTTGGGCCAGTAAGAAGAAAGTGGCCTTCAGGACTAGCGATGTGAGCCGGGTCCTCTGGGATGGAAAGGAGCCGGCCATTCTTAGTAATGTATGGTGGTGACAGGGGGCTCTGGAGAGGCCCAGGGAAAAGGGGAGAATCCAGGGCAGGATGCAGGCTGAGTTCAGACGTCCAGCACATGGTTCAGATAGGAGATATAGCAGATGGCCAGGCGTAGGATCTCAATCTTGGAGAGCTTCTTGTCCGGGGGCAGAGTGGGCAGCAGTTTGCGCAGCTCAGCGAAGGCCAGGTTGAAGGCTTCCACGCGGATGCGCTCCCGCGTAGCGTGTGCCGTGCGGTACTTGGCCGTGGCGCGGCGCCGACGCCTGCGCTCCTCACGGCTCAAGTGCTGCAGGTCTTTGCGGCCGGACTCTCCGAGCTCGGAGCTCCGGACCTGGCCCACTCCGAGATCCCCCGAGCCAGCACCATCCGGGCCTGGCCCGCCCCCACAGTCGCTAAAGCCCGACTCAGTCTCCGAGTGGGTGGGAGGCAGGTCCAGCTCCATGGTGTCGGAGTTGAGCATCATGATGGAAAACCCCCACCTAGGGAAATGCGGACCCTCTCCCACCCCTCCCTTTGGGAGCTTAAAAGAGGGCTGTGAGAACTGTAGAAAGGGCCTGGAGTCCCAGGGTCTGCCACTGAGCTCTGGAAAGCAGAGTTACTTCAAAGTTCCATGGTCAAGATTCCAGCCTGGAACCTGAAACACAGAAAGATGAACTGAGAATTGACCGCTTAAGGTGTGGGCAGCTCAGAGTGGGGCGCGGAAGGGGGGGGGTAGGGAGGGAGGGGGTGAGGTGTGAGCTGTGAGTTGGGAGTTGGGGTAAAGGAGAGCCGAACCTGGCTTCAGAGTTGTCCAAGGCTAGAGAGACCAGTAGGTTGGAAAGGAGTGGGAGGAATAACTGAGGAAAGAGAAAGTCCTGGAAAGGACACAGCAGGGACACTAACGCTGAATGAGAGGACAGAAGGCTAAAAGTGCTGAATTCTTAGAAGGAAACAGAGGGGAAGTCCTTCAAGACATTGGACTTGGCCATCATTTCTTGACTATGAGAACAGAAGCATAAGCAAAAAGAAAAAAAAGTCGACATCAAACTTAACTGTAAAGCACTAAAGAGAACAATTCCCACAGTGGAAATTCAACCTATGGAATAAGGGAACAGTCACAAACCAGGATTCTGGGAATAGGTTAATATGCAAAGCATATGAGGAAGTCCCTAGGCAGCTGTGGCAGCTTACTCCTTTGGAACCCCAGCACTCAGAAGGCTGGGGGCAGGAGGACTGTGAATTTGAGACTATCTTCTGGATAGTCAGTCTCAAAAAAGGAAAAGCAACCAAAATATTGAATAACCTAATTTTAAAACGAGAAAAGGACTTGAACAGACATTTTTCCAAAGATAATGCACAAATGGCCAACATACATATGTGAATACGAGGCACATCACTGATCGCTAAAAATGTGAAGTAAACCATAGTGAAACAATCACCTCATATCCACTAGAGACAGAGAATGTATAAAAACAAAACAAACAAACAAACAAAACCTTAAAACTAAATCAGTGTTGGCAAGAGTATGAAGAAATGAGAACCCTAATCTGTGAAGTGGTACATCTGCTATAGGCAATGGCCTGGATGTTCCTCAAAAAACGAAAAGTGGAAATACACTGATGTTTCAGCACTTGGGAGAGATTGGTGCGTGAATGCTCACAGCAGTGGCAGAAGCAACTCAAACGTCAACCAGTGGAGGAATGGACAAATACAATGTAGATACAATGTATACATAATAATAAACTGTGAGCCTTGAGTGCCTCCTCCCGTACTGCAATGGAGACTAAACCTTGAGGCCATTATAGCATGGGAAGTAAGCAGTCACAGAAAGACAAACACTGTGACTCCACTGTTTAAGTTTCTAAAGTAGTCTAATTCACAAAAAACCAAGTGGCTTGATGGTTGCCAGGGGCTGGAGGGCGAGGCAGAGGGGAGCTAGCCATTCTTTAAACAGTCTAGCATCTCACATTCACAAGATGAAAAAGTTCTGGAGCTCAGTTTCATGTGAATATACTTAATGTGCTCCAGCCCTACACTTATTTGTTGTGATTGCAAATTTTGTTATGTGGGGGTTTTTTCCATAATAATAAATAAGGGGAAAGGCAGATCAACAACGTGGGGGGTGGGGACCTGCAAAGCCTTGGCTTTGGAATCTTCTGCACCCTTGTTTCTTACTGAGGGAGGGGGCTAACCCAGAGATGGCCATTGTCGAGGGCACTGGGAAATAAGGACCTTGGCACAGGTACCTTGGTTCAGCCCCTCAGAATCCCCCCCCCCCACACACCTCTTCAACATCACCACTGTAGACATTAGGCCCTACCACCCTGCCGATCAGAACCAAAGAAAGGTATTTCTTCTCAGCACCTGCACCCGCTCAGGACCACCAGATCCCCTGCTCTGACCTCAGCACAGTTAACCCTTGCCATTCCCTGGCCCTCTTGGTGATTCTGTAAGGGAGGTGTTCGGAAACTCCCCCGAAGCCTGTGGCATGGCCTGCAGAGGAGGACAGAGGCAGCTTCTTGGAGCTCCCCTTATGGAGCTCAGCTAAGTGTGCTCGTCTCAGAACCACTGGGCCTTTCCCAGTGAGTTCAGCTTTGATAGAGACAGAAAGAGATAGAATCACTTGGGATCCTTCCCAGTCACTGTCTCCAGCCCTAGCTTGACAGCTGACAGCTGACACACTCTCACAGGAGTCACCCTTTCTTCTAGGCTTGCCCCACCCTACCCCACAGAAGACAGGTTCAAGACCAGAGCAGTTACTAAGCTCTTAAGGGGACACAAACAAAACCACCAGCATCTGCTGGTGGAGAGACACCTACACACTGACTGGGACATAAAACAACCTAATTAATGCTGAAATTATAAACATCCTCCATATTGTAGGGTCCAAAGGATGAGAACAGCAATAGTGCAGGGTCGTGGGGGAGCATTTCCCATACGTGTGCAGTGTCCCTAATTCCCCACTCTCAAAGTGAATTGGAACCAAGAGTTCAGCCTTGGGGTTCACAGGACATTTATAGCAACCAGATTCCCCCTCTGCCCGGTCCCCATGATCCCAAGTCCTCCATCACTCCCTGGTGTCCTCCCTTTCTCTCTCCTGCTCCCCATCTGTCACGACCTATCTCCACCTGCCCCTCCCTCCTCCCCGCCTCCACTCCCGGCAGCAGCTTCTATATTCTCCTCAAGTCTTTCCTCCACGTCTGCTCTCAAAGTCTCTGGCTCTGAGAAGCAGGGAAGCAGCAATTCCAAGCATCCAATAGGAATTCTCTCCCTGCTTCCTCCAACTGCCCCTCACAGATGCTGCCCAAAGAATCCAAAAGAAGTAGGTAAAAAAGAAGCAAAGATGGATAGAGACCCAGAGAGACCCTTCCTGGGGGAAGGTTCTGGGAGGGGACTCCAGTGAGAGATTAGGAGAGATGTGCCCACCCTTCCATAGCCCATGGTTTCCCCTTACCTAGAAGGACTCTGCCAAGGGATCCAAGCTGGTGAGCAAGGGGAACAGTGGAGAGAGCCCCAGTCTCTTCTCGCTGCTCAAGGGTCATCTGTCTGCAAAGTTAGTGAGCAGTTTCTAAAGCTCTTAGGAGCAGCTTGTTGTAGCTGAGCAGGGTCCAGGACAGATGAGAAGGGTGCACATGGTGGAGATGTAAGACCTAGGCAGAAGGGGTGCTCTTAGTCCAGAACTGGAGTCACCCACAATCACACTCACACATACATACACACACTCACACACCCACACATTCACACACTCACAGACACATACACACCTGAGCTGGCCAGCCTTCTGTGTGTATAAATATGGAGATACACACACACCCCCAGCTCTCTATTGGCTGGCCCAGGCACCCCCGTCATCAATATTAAACATCCAGGCCAGGCAACCATTGGCAGAGGGATCTGGGAACCCCTTGGGAGCTGGGGGTGGGGGCTGGCCCTGGGGGGGGGGGGGGTGGGGGGGAGCAGGGACATCTGTTCTCCATGCATATTTCATAAGCAAGAAATAGAGAGCTGGGGAAGGGGTGGGGCTGAGGCAAGAGTCAGGGCAGGACCACAGACGAACCCCCTCAGTCTCCCATACTAGAGGTAGCAGGAGAGAGACTCCAAAGCAGCGGGATTTAAATGTCATAGTTCCATTCTGAGTCCCAGTGTGGCTCTGACTGCTCCTTCTCCCTGTCTCTTTTCCTGCGAAGAAGGCTCTCCAACGTACTAGGCGAGAAACTATGAAAAGACTAAGTAGTCAGTAGCCTGAAAGTCCTTCCCTTAAGTAAGTTCTCACATGGATAGCACCCACAGCTTAACTGGCTGCCTCTTGCTGCTGTTCAGGTTCTAACCATTGTCATCCCAGGACTTCAGCAACTTGATCATCTCTCTCTTCCAGGTCCCATTCTTCTACCTACCCCATCACCAGGCCAGGAGTAGAGTCAGATTCTGGGTGGAGACCCCCCAGGAAGTTTTTCTAGGCTGGTTAGTTCAAGGTGATCTACAGGGAATCAGGGGCCTGAGAGGAAAGAGCTAATAGGAGAGGGAGGAGAAGATCCAAGAAAGGCAGGCAGAGATTGGAGGGGGTCTTGGAGAGGAGGAGGGCAGTGCAGGCTGCTGGAGTGTGCAGGCCGTCAAATGAGCAACAAGAAAAGTAGCTACAAAATTATGTGCAAATGAACACTGATGACGTTCACGTCAATAGCTCAACCTCCTCCAGGGTCTGTGCCTGTGCGTGTGTGTGGCTCTGTGTCTGTGTGGGTGTGTTGCAGGGTGACCTGAGAGGGGAGCCAGTTTCTGGAGCTAAGGGAAGCACAGAGCCGTAGTGGGCTGGGTTTCAGCATGGAAATTCTCCCTTGTATTCAGCTGTAGGACATCTTCATTGAGCCTCAGTACCAGAGGCAGAGACTTCAGGCACAGTGAGCTACAGTGACAGAGGCTCTAGTGGCTGTATGACCCTGGACAAGTAATGACCTTTAAATCTCAATGTCCTTTTTCTTTAAAATAGGGTAAATTATGACTGTGTAGGTTGCCATGGAGATCAAGTGAGATAATGCTATTAAGTAGTGTAGACCCTACTAGGAGAACAGGCAGCGGGAAGGATTTGCCTCTTCCGTGTGCCTTCTCCACCTTTTCTGGGCTTTCTCCAGGGTGGGGCCTGCTCTACAGGGAGTCCTATAATTCCTCCCCAAGCTCACCCTCCTCTCCCTACCCCCAGGCCTGGGAGGTGCCAACTCCCACCTGGGCAGGCCCAGACAGGTGCCCAGGCGCCAGCAGATGGGCTGAGCTGGAGGGGAGAGAAGGCCTGAGGAGGGGGTGGGGGTGCCGGGGATCAGGTGGCAGCTTGGTTCTTGCATCATCATTGCCATAGTGCTGATTAAAAACCAATCTCCACCTAATGAGCCCCCAGCAACAACAATCCTACCCCCACCCTCCTGCCCTCCAACCCATCCAAGAAAGTGGGAGAAAGTGCCATGGGGGAGATGGGAGAAGGTAGGGAGAAGCTGAGGGAAATAATGGAGACACTAGGAGATGCTCGGACACAGAGAGACACAGAGAAGTGAGAAGATGTGGTCACAGGGTGACAGAGACATAGAGGAGACAGAGAGGTAGGGAAGGAGGATGGGGCCAGGCTGTCAGTCCTTTACAGAAGATAGGGATATGTAAGAGGTGTGTGTGTGTGTGTGTGTGTGTGTGTGTGAGAGAGAGAGAGAGAGAGAGAGAGAGAGAGAGAGAGAGAGAGAGAGAGAGAGAAGAGAGAGAGACAGAGACAGATAGACAGACAGACAGGGAGCAGAGAGGGGGGAAGAGACAGAGAGACAATCAGACAGACAGACAGACAGACAGGTGACAGACTTGGGGAGAAACCTGAAAAGAGGAGACTGCTATGGAGATTCAGATGGAGGAACACATTCAGGAACAGGGAGCTAGGAGAAAGTCTGAGAGAAGCCCTGAAGCGGAAGGGAGTTGCACACATGGAGGAACTAGAGAGCAGACAGTTGTCAGGAAGAGAAAAATTATGAGCTATAAGGTAGGGAGACCCAATAATCAAGTATTAAGGTGTCATCCAAATGGGGGACGGAGATCCCAAAGGGTAAAGAACACAGAAGAACCTCGAGAGACCACAGACCAGTGGTGGAAGCAGAGTGGGAGCCAGGCCACTCCCCTTACATGCTGGTTAGCCCCACAACCTCTGTCCCTGAAGCATCCAGCCCTAGCTGTCCCATGTACTCAGGGGACTAGTTCTTCTTCCTCCGCATCTGTCATCCCAGATCTTAGGCTCTGGGGACTCCCAGTCCCAGGTCTCACTCAGGAACTCAGTTCCTGAGTAACAAAGAGGCGTTAATAGCATCAAACCATAGAAAGCACTGTGTCTACTGAGCCCGGAGTCCTTGTGACCTTGGAAAGCCATGTAACTTTTGCTGGATTCTTTTCACCACCTGTAACATCGGCATAATATCACTTTCGCCATAGGGCTCTTGTGACACCCAGTGAAACAGTACACAAGAGACTGCTGAGTGAACTGTGTGGCATTCATCCCAACTCCCTGCACCTGCGGGCTGGTCAGAAGGGTCCAGGAAGTTTCATCCATTTATGTATGTAAGAAAATATGACTGAGGGACGCTGAGGAGAGCTCTTCATGTTGGGATCTCTCTCCTCTCTCTCTCTCTCTCTCTCTCTCTCTCTCTCTCTCTCTCTGTGTATGTGTGTGTGTGTGTGTGTGTGTGTGTGTGTGTGTGTGTGTGATCTTACCTGCAAGGGAAGAGAGAAGAACAGGCCTTGGGGACGGAGAAAATGATTATACCTTTGTGCTTATTATTTTGCATTTTATAGACACTCACTTTTTGAGATTGTGGTTCACAAATTTCTCTCCCTCCCACAGCCTGTGAGGTTCTGGGGGGAGGGACATCGGAGGGTAGGTTAGACACAGGGGCAGGAGCTAGTCCTTGAGGGTAAGCAGAGGGCCTGGAGAAACTGGGAAGCAGTGGGCTTGGCAGGAGAGGGGATGACATATGTGGGGAGCCCTGGGGACCCAACCAGGCAAACTGGCTGGCAGGGAGAGCAGACAGTGTTAACTCTTGCTGTGCCACACCACCTGACCCTTCTCTGAGAGTGTCTGTGGTTGAGGTGTTATTTCCTCAGTGACTGGAGCTGTGTTAGGACACAGGAGGCAGTATAGGCCAGGGAAGCCTGAACAGGAGCTACCATCACTTGGGAATGGCAGCAATGCTGTAGTGTGTCTTCACCTAGTGTTTCTGCCCTTGGTTTCCACATGGTCTCTGTCAGTCTGTCTTTCTCTGTCTCTACCTCTCTGCCTCTAGAAGGTGACAGCGGGTCTCCACTCTGGCTAACTACACAATCTGTCACTCTCTGTGCTGCCAGCCCAGCTGGAAGCCCCCCTTCTCAGTACCCAGCCCAAGCCCTCTGCCCCTGTCCCCCTAGGCCTTCACGCCTTTGTCTCCTAAGGCGGCCTCCCCTTTCTTCCTCTCATTCACTCACCTCTCCTCAGCTCAGAGCTCATCTCCGATCTCATTACAGCCTCGGCCTCCAACCACTGTGCCACCCCCACCCCCAGCCTCTTCTCTTTCCTCCCCCATCCATCTGTCTTCCCTGAAGCTCTCCTCTTTGTGTCCTCCCATCTGTCACCACCAGTACTGGGCTTACTCCCCTCCGGGCCACACCCGCCTGGCCTTTCTCCCCTTGGGCTCAGTTCCCTCTCTCCCTTCCTCCTTCAGCCCTAGCAGGAACCCTACTTCCTCTGTCTCCTTTCATAAGCTGCTTTCTCACGATCTTCTCCCTCACTTCAGTTTTGAATCCCAGCCCTCTAGCACCTCAGACCATTCCTCACTTGTGAGTTGGGGGAAGAGTGCGGACTCCAGGGTCCCAGCCCCTAACCCCTGAGCAACCACTTAGTTGGGACAGAGAATGGTAATGTTGGCTCACAGTTGCATCAGCTCAGGTGAATGGCTTCTTAGGCCCCCTGAGATGACCTCCTCTCTTGCTCTGTTTCTGGGTTTGGCCCCATGGCCTCTACCACTCTTTTCTACCCAGGAGTGAGAGGCTCCTCTGCCTTCTGAGTATAAGTTCACACAGAATAAAAATGTATCCAGGAGCCCATCGGACCCCTGGCCTTTCAAGGGCTTCAGATTCTCCAGCCTTTTATTTCTTGTTTTATTCCTTTTTTTCCTTCCCTTCTTTCTCCCCCTTTCCCTCCCTCTTTATTTCTTTTGAGGAAATAATGCCATACTTCCCAAATTTTTACTGTTCCTGGGTTAGGGGACAATAGTGTCCCTTTCTAGCCTTGTATTGTCTCTGAGAGTTCATGAATCGATCATCTTTTCAACTGGCTCCCTTCCCTGAGGGCCTTAGGGAGAAGAGGCTAAAACTCCAGTTGTTCCTTCATAGAACCAGACAGAGCCAGTGTGGACTAGAGAGAGCAGTCTCTTGTCAAAGTCTACACTCTACAGAGAGCTCTGGGGCCCAGAGAGGCACAATGCCCTCCCAACATCACACAAGCGGCAGAGCAAAAACTCTGGCCCTGACCTCTTCACATAGCCAACTTTTTTTTTTTTAAAAGTTAACATACAAAGCAAAACCCAGGTTAGTCTCAAATTCAATCATTATCTTGAATACTGGAGCTCAGGTAGGTGCCACCATGTTCAGAGAATCAACTCGTTTGAATTGATAAAAGGGGGAAAGTAGCACAGAGGAGTGAGGTTGCTTGCCCAGAGACAATAAGGGAGAGACTGAGTTGAGACTAGAACATGTCTTACCTAGGTCTGTGCCAGCGCTGGGCCTGGCTACAGAAGAAGCACTTTGCCCATGTATGGTTAAAGCATAAGAGATATAGGGCATCTTTAAGACTCTAAGGTTTGGATGCAGGGAAGGGACGTGACCCATGACAACCCAGCAAGGCTGTGAACGCTCCATACCAGATCAGTTCTAGACAGGTTCTACCCAAGTTCAGAGGACAATGGATTTGCTTCAGGCAAAGGCCAATGGAGAGGAATGATTGCGTTTGAGGCTAACCTGGGCTACCAAGAAAGCCCTTGTCTGAAAAAAAAAAAAGCACATGATTTCTAAGATGCTATAAATTATAAGTCCTTGGGTACAGGGGGTATGGGAGGCATTAATGAGAGAGAGGAAGATGACATATACATATATGAAAATGCCATAACTAAGTTGCTTTGTATGCTAACTTAAAAAAAAGTTGGCTGTGGCACATGCCTTAAAACCTACCACTCAGAAACTGGAGGCCTATTGGTCCTGAATGGTCCAGAATAAACAGGGGAAGGGTCAGGAGAGCTTCAACCCCAGATAACTCATATGAGGACAGCAGGCGCCAGAAAACCTTCTCCACTATCAAGCCTAGTAAGATTTATTACCCTGAGACTTATCAAGCCTCATTCCTTGTTTGACCTTTTAAGATTTCCCCCCCTTGTTGGGCCCCCCCCCCCGCCCCTGAGTATGCAGATGAAGTGCCTTCCAGCACCCCTGGCCTTGCCAATTGTACAGGAGCACACAAACCTTGCCCCGGAGACCTTGCCCACCTCCCCAGAGGCATACATACCACCTTCTTCTTCGCTCCGATTAAACCGAACCACTTCTCCGCAGCTGTTTGCAGGTGTGTGTGTGCGCTCTTTACTGCTGACCAAAGTCCTACACTCCACCCACCCACCCTCGAAGCTTCCTGAGGAAGAGAAGCAGACACGGAGTGGAGCAGCTCTCTGTGAGTTTGAAGTCAGCCTATTCTACATAGCAAATGCCAGGCTAGCCAGAGCTACATAGTGAAACCCTGCCTATAAATAAGGAAGTAAGCAAATAGATAAATAAATAAATAAATCCCTCGAAGGCACAAAGTTCTACTGAATAAGGTGGGATTTTAGTACAGAATAACAGAATGTAGATTTTTAAAATAGATGGCTCAGCCAATAAAAGTGCTTGCCATGTAAGCCTGGCCACCCATAATTCCTGGGTCTCATGACAGAATAGAATCGACACCCCAAAGTTGTCCTCTGACCATACACATGCTGTGACACATACGTGCACACGCACAAGTAAGTAAATATCTCCTCCTACAATGTATGATTGGACAGCAACCAAGAAATTAGAAAAAGAAGAGTCACCCTTTTATTCGAATAACCTGGAGAGGAACCGGCTAGAGGAAAGCGTCCCGGTTAGACTTGAGGGAGGAGGTACCCCAGTGGGTAGGAAAGCTGGTACTGAGGCATAGGTGGTCACTCAACTTTCTACTGAGGTTGGAAGAGAAGGGCCAATATGACCCGACAAGAGCAGGGCAAAAGGGAAGTCCTTAGGGAACAGGAAGGGGCTAGAAAA